TTATATTTTACATATTAATTTACATAATTAAATATAAATTTTATTATAAAATAAGATTGTGATAAATGATTTTAACTAATAGAAACAAAAGTATAGACAGAATTGAAACAGTATTAAAATTTCAAATGCATGCCAACCTAGCCAGAGCTTCGCCAACATTGCTGTTTACTGCTTTTGATTACAGGGCAATACCATGACATTTCTTGACTTTGGCTATGCATACTCATTCATAATTCATAATTGAGTGAGTGGCATTTGTTATGTATCTTCATGCAAATATCCTCTCGACTTTCTCATTGACTTGCCCACTATTTTAAGGTCATGCTTGGAACGCAATTGTTTTAGAAAGAGTGGCAGGACATTTCTTGATGATTATAACCGTTCATATTCATTCATAATTTAGTAGCATTTGTTATGCATCTTCTTAGAAATATCCTCTTGACTTTCTTATTGACTTGCCTACAACTTTAAATTCTACTTTGGTGTAAATGAAAAATTTTATAAATAGATTAATTAAATTTTATAAATATTAATTTAATACACAAAATAATCATTTTGATACATTGTAAGAGTATCAAGAAGCACATAAGAACAAAATAATTAAAATAAATTTTTTTAATTGACAATAAATAAATAAAAAGTACAATTCACTCTGCACTAATTATAAAACAACATTATCATATATGTACGGCCATCTCTTTTGTTTTACTGGTGCATGCTTTGCGAAATGTAGTCCCTGCAATAATGGATCTATGGTAATCAAACTTTATATCTGTCTATCCCTACACCGCACTTTGCTTTTCGTTTTTTTCTTTCAGAGCAATAATGTATATAGGTTAATTAAACTTTATATCTGTCTGTCCCCACACGGCACTCTGCTTTTCGTGTTTTCTTTGAGTCATCCTGCTTTCGGGAAAGGTTGTTCTCTGCTTTTACAAAAGATTGGATGAAGTTGAAAGGCTTTTTCCATTGTGAAAATGAAATGGAGCTATGACAAGTAATGTCAATACCGTGTAACATAAGGGCAAATTAGGAGGAGAATTCATGGGGGAAAGAGAGAGGAATCCAAGGCAAAAAGAAAAAACTTTGAGCTGTGAGATATACAGCTGGCAAGGCAAAAGAGGTGCATGAAAAAGAAAAGAAAAAAAAAAGAACTTAGAAATTATAATTCATTATTCTCAATTATAAGTAGATTATATTTTTTTTGCCCGGAAAATAAGTAGATTAAAAAAATAGAGTTTCTTTTCAAAAGCATCTGAGTATATTACATTTTTTTATAATTATTTAAGAAAGGGTGGAGGGAAAAACTGTTTGACAGGGGGCACAGCCCTCCATCAATAATTAAAATAAGTTTTTTAATTGATAATAAATTACAAAAAAAAAA